TTGAGTTGACATGGGGTGCAGGGAGCCTGGGTGCCCTGGTGGGTCAGCTGGGCTTGACTGTAGCCCTTGCAGAACAAGGTGGTCTAGGATGGGGAGGTCTGCTATGGAGGCCTTGCAGGGGGCTGGAGTGCTCTCTAGCTGGAGGAGGAATGTCAACAATGGCAAGTGCCAGCTCCTCAGATCCAAGTGAGTTCCTGCAAGTTTCCCCCACATTTATTTGCAGGTGCCTGTGTTGCAGAAGACCAGAGAAAAACCAAGCAACGTTTAGGAAAAGGAGTGACAGGTGTTTATTTACACCGGCAGACTCGGGGAATTACTTTCCAAATCTGAGTAAAGTAACATGCAGGGGGCTTCTCTTCTATAGCTTTCTGAGGACTTTGTCCCGCAAATATGGATTATGTTTCCGGTCCTTTTCGTGGGGTTTGCAAGAAGGTCCCCAGGTGTTGGGGGTCTCCAGGCCATATCTGATGGCCTGGCCTGGCACCAGTGTTAATAACCTCCCTCCGGGGCAGTGCACTGTTCACAGTTTTATGGCCTCTGTAACAGGTTCTGCAAGACCAATTTCTGGGAAAGAGGTAGTGACTAAATTATAGGTTATCAATAATGTACACTGAGCTTGCTGGCATGGATTCAGATTGCTAGCCTCCCACCCCCCCCAAAAAAAATCAGGGTTACATTGGAATTAGCCTTTTAACCTCCTCACCTGTGGTTTAGTAAATGGATTATTTTCATGTGTAGTCTAGCTGCGGTTTTAATTGCTGTTTTATCACTGTGCCTCATAGCAGGCAAGTCTGCCCTCACCAACCCCTCAGTGATGTCACTCTCCACCACAGGCCTCCCCATTGGAGTGAGGTTCCCGTGATTATCCCATCTCAGTCTCTCCTACCCTTCTCTGTGTGGTCTTTCTCTCGTTTGTTGTTCAGGAGGAATTGCTCTATATGTAGGTGCATATTCCCTGTGTCCTACCCTACCATCTTGGACCCAACTCCAGGATACAATTTAAATTCAAGTATCCCTGGTGCCAACCCTGCCATCATCTGGATCACCTGTGCTTCCTCTCTCAGCAGAGCACTCACTCCATCCCATAGTCATTGCCAGTTTCGTCTTGCTTTCCACTAGACCTTGGACTCCTTCAGAGTAGGGACCTTCTTCTTTGCCATGATGCAACTCCTAGTATCTGGCAAAGTGTCTGGCACAAGTAGGCACCCAAATATTTCCTGAATGAGTAATCTCTACTGCTTCTACTCAAATTGACTGAGGCTATTCAGCCATACTGAATGATCAAATACTCCCTCTCCTAACCTGTTATGCTAGTCTATTATGCGGCGTAAAATGCCTCAACATTAAAATAAGAAAAGTACACCGCAGCCGGTGTGGCTCAGTGGATAGAGTGTCAGTCTGCAGACCTAAGGGTCCCTGGTTTGATTCTGTTCGAGGGCACATACCTCGGTTGCAGGCTCCTCACAACCAATCGATGTGTTTCTTTCCATCAATATTTCTCTGTCTTTTCCTCTCTCTTTCACTCTCTCAAAAAATCAATGGAAAAATATCCTCAGGTGAGGATTTAAAAAATGAATAAAAATAAATAAATAAGCAAATACTTAAAAAATAAAATAAGTACTTTGATTTTGCTATTGCATATCTAATTTCCTTAATTTGTAAAATGAGGTTTTGAAGACACCTGTTGGCTTCAAATGTATTGATCACCCACTTCCCCCAAACCCAACCACTGCCTCCTACCCACCAACCCCACTATATGTTGAAATGAAAACCAGGATAGGGAAGGCAGAACGTCTCTCTTTGAGGGGAAAGAGCCAGAGGTGGGCTAAACCCCACTTGTGCAGCTTTCCATGAATCCTCCACAGCCGCCACCCCCACCCGCACACTAGAGGGACTTAACCAGGAAGCACAGATGTAAACTATGGACTATATATTTCTCTTCAGCTCCACAGGTACACACAATAATAATTATATCTGCATCCATGCCAACTTTGTTCTTCCTTTCCCCCCATCTTTATCCTTATATAACTAGTGTCCTGGTGCACAAAATTTGTGCAGGGGGGGTTCCCCTCAGCCCAGCCTGCACCCTCTCCAATAGGGAACCCTAAACCAGCAGTCAGACATCCCTTTCAAAGTCTTGGACTTCTGGCTCCTAACTGCTCACCTGCTTGGTTGTCTGATTGCCTCACCCTGCCTACCATATTACCCCTAACCTCTCTGCCTGCCTGCCTGATTGCCCCTAACTGCCCTCCCTTGCTGGCCTGATCTCACACCCAACTGCCCTCTCCTGCAGGCCTATTCTCACCCCCAACTGCCCTCCCCTGCTGGTCTGGTCCCCCTCAACTGCCCTCCTCTGCCGGCCTGATCTCACCCCTAACTGTTCTCCCCTGATGGTCTACTCAGCCCTAACTGCATCTGCCTGCCTGATCGCCCCACACTGCCCTCTCCTGCTGGCCAGATCTTGCCCCCAACTGCCCTGCTGGCCTGATCTCACCCCCAACTGCCCTCCCATGCTAGCCTGATTGCCCCTAACCCCCTGCCAGCCTAATATTGCCCCCAACTCCCCTCCCCTGCCGGCCTGATCACCCCTAACTGCCTCTACCTCAGCCCCCAACACCATGTGTTTGTTTGGAAGTAAGTCGGACATCTGGAAGATGGCCGGTGCAACTGGTATAATTAGCATATTACTCTTTTATTGGTATAGATAGATTATATAGGATATGATTGCTTAAATGGGGTGGGGAGCCTTTTTCAGCAGGAGGAGATGCTCTTGGCAGACGAAAATACATAATCCCTATGTCTGGACTGATAGCCAGCCATATGCACTATATTGCCAAGCCAGTCATTAAAAAATTGAACCGCTTTCTTACACTTTACACCAAACAGCTGTTGCCCTTAAAACCCCTCCTCAGCCCCCACCTTATGTTCTGCCTTCTCAGTTCACCCAGATTAGGTTCTGGTTGGTTGGTCTCTATGCCAGTCAGCGTCAAAAGCTCCGCCTCCTAGGGATCCATTGGCTCCTCACAGTTCACCCAGATTTGGTTCTGATTGGTCGGTTTCTATGCCAGTCAGCACCTCCAGGCTTATGATCAGAGAGACGGGGCTGATCAACTGTTGCCACGGAGGCTGCTTCTCTCTCCGGGCCTCTCTCCAGCCCTGATCTGCAGCCCCCTCAGCAGTCAGTGCTGAGTCACCACCACTGCAATGGTAGCATTCAGTGCTTGGTCACCGCGGCAACCCAGCACTGACTGCAAGACTGACTCCCGGTGTTTGGTTGTCCATTTGGTCGTTTTGGACGTTACGGACCCTGGCTCTTTATATATAGAGATAAAAGGCTAATTTGTAAATTTTCCCCTCAGGAGTTTGACCGACTGGGAGTGCTACCACTCGCTATGACGTGCGCTGACCATCAGGGGGTGGTGCGGAATGAAGGAAGGCCCCGGCCGGCAGCCAGCAGCTGGGGGAAGGAAGGCCATGGCCAGCAGCTAGAAGGCCCTGATCGGCCCAGATCGCAGGCTAGGCCTAGAGACCCTACTCGTGCATGAATTTCATGCACTGGGCCTCTAGTTAGGATGTAATTGACATTTAATATAATGTAAATTTAAGATGTATCATGTGATGATTTGATCCATGTATTTACTCTGAAATGTTTACCAAGATAAGGATAATTAACACATCTGACACCTCACACAATTACCATTTTGTTGTTGCTGTCATGTTGAGAACACTGAAGCTGTACTCTCTTTGCAACTTTCCAGTATACCAAGGAGTATCTTTAACTAAGTCACCATGCTGTAGATTAGGTACCTTTTGACCAACATCTCCCCATTTCTCCCAGCCTCTAGCCCCTCACGGTCCATTTTCTTTTAAATACTTAAACGGTATTAGGTTAAATCCACAGAAAGAAAGAAATACAGAGGAAGCAAATTCTGTTTCCAGAGAGCCAAATTGTCTTGCTTGTCATGATGTTTTGCTCAGTTTTTCCGTGTTTTGCCTCATTGAGTACCTAAGCATTAAGTGTGGGTAGGTGGACTGACCCTCCAGACTTATTGCTCAAATGCAGGGTGGGAAGGGGTGGAGAAAAAGATAGTGATGGGGCCATTTCTAATCCTTTAGACCAGTGATGGCGAACCTATGACACGCGTGTCAGAGGTGACACGCGAACTCATTTTTTTGGCTGATTTTAATTTGTTAAATGGCATTTAAATATATAAAATAAATATCAAAAATATAAATCTTTGTTTTACTATGGTTCCAAAGATCAAAAAATTTCTATATGTGACACGGCACCAGAGTTAAGTTAGGGTTTTTCAAACTGCTGACATGCCGAGCTCAAAAGGTTCGCCATCACTGCTTTAGACTATCCCGAGAAGTTCAATCCATAAGCTCAGAATTCGTCTTAAGTTTGTGACTTGTAAAAAGAGTGACAGGTATGATGTTTGCTAAAATTGGTTCTGATAAAAGGACTGAAAAGACTATCTCAGTGTCGATATGTGCTGGCAGGCTTTTAAAAAATCAGACAACGGCGATAACAGATGAGATGAACATGAAATGATTTATTGAGGAAATGACCATTCAGGTTAGTAATATGACACAATGTCAGATAATCTTCAATATCAGATCATCTTTGTTTTTGCATTAGAAAGAATATTTTTAAGTGCTCCATGTAATTCACCTGGGGATGTAGAATCATAGTTGTGATCCTGGTCAGATATTTTAAAAGAATGGATACAGAGGGGTGAGTGTGTGTGTGGGGGGGGGGGGCCGGGGGGTGGTGGTGTGGGTGTGCGTGTGGTACAGAAACTGCCAAGGCAAATGATAAGAGAAATATACAGATCTTGTCGTTTATCTTGAGACCTTGGGGAAGGGCTGTGTCTTTTTGTCAGGGCATAAATCTAGCAGTCAATATGGATGTTTGACTGTGTCGCGCGCCAAAGGGCACCTCAAGAGGACATCACCTGCAGCCCAGGCCAGGGAGTCCCTGGGAGGGGGCAGGAGTGTCACTGGGCCTGTGCAGCAGAGGTGGCATCTGCAACTGCGGCGTCCTCCTCTGAGGTGCTGCTCTGATTGGCAATGCAAGCGGGTTTTCCAGCAGGGCCCTTCCTGGTGGTGTCTTCCTCTCCTCCTTCAGGGCTGTGGTCCTGGGCACCAGACGGCTGCTGCTGGCTGTGGATGGGGTTGTTGGGGCCGCAGGCTGCAGAGCCAGCATCGCTCCCGCTCTCCTTGTTTTCTGCCTCCAGCTGCTCAGAGGACTTTGGACGAGGGGCCATGCCTCGGCCCCTAGGGCGACTCAAGCGGTAGCTGGGGCCAGGCCCACGGCGTGGTGGTGAGCCCTCCGGCCCGGCGGCTGGTGCAGACCCAGGCAGCTGGGCGGCCTGCGGAGGGCGGCTGGCAGGAGCGGAGGTGGAAGGGCGGCGGGTCACAGCCCAGGCCCTGCGGAAGGGCGGAAAGCGCCTCAGCCTTTGGTCTTGGGGGCGGCGGTGCAGGTGGCGCCTCTGGCCCTGGGCGAAGGCGAAGTCTTCTCTGCTGCCCTGGTAGTCGTAGTCATAGTAGCCGCAGTAGTCGTAGTAGTGGTAGCAGCCGTAGTAGTCGTAGTAGTAGTAGTCGTAGTTGCAGTGGTAGTCATAGTCGTAGCCATAGACGTCCCCCTCAGGGCCCCTGGCGCTGCGATGCTGTGGCGCGCGATGGCGGGTGTGGAAGCCACGGCGGAAGCGGGGTCGGTTTGCCGCAAAGCGGCTGCCCTCCACTGGGGCGCCGCCTGGCCCGGTCACGTTCGCAGCCTCGATGCCCTGCTTGCCCTGCACCACGTGGAACTCCACGGTCTCGCCTTCCCCCACGCTGCGTTGGTACTTGTGGGGGTTGTTCCGGGTGATGGCCGTCTGGTGAACGAACACATCTTCCTGGGTGTCGTGCCTGGTGATGAAACCGTACCCGTTCTTTACATTGAACCACTTGACGGATCCACTCACCCTCTTGGCGATCACTTGCTTGGGCGCCTTTTCCTTGGTGCCAGCTGCCACGGTGGCCTCGGGGACAGAGTTTTCGCAGAGGTGGCTGGTGACTAGGGCCTGGACAGAGTCTCCGCCTCCCAAGGACGACAGATCTCTCTTCCTGGCTTGGAGGGAGCCGGCTTGGGGGGAGTCGGAGGCGGCCACCTCCGTGAGGGTGGCCTCTCCTGCCTCACTCATGAGGCCTTCCTTTCTGGCTCCTAGAGTCCCAGGGAAATCTGCTCCTAAGTAGCTGAGCAGGGGCTGGGGGGCGGGGTGGGGGTGGGGATGGGGGTGGGGGCGGTAATGGAGGTGGGAGCCTTGCTCTGGGAGGGTCTGGGTCAGGGCTGAGGACTCTCCTGCTGCTCAGAGGTGAGGCTCTTGGGAGAGGTCTGTGGCGTCTCCGTCTCCTAGGAAACAGGACCCGGATGAACCTGGCTGCAGGGGTGACGTCTCAATGGGGCTCCAGGCCCGCCTCTAGCCAGGGGGCGGGGCATGTGAGCTCTGCCATGTGCTCCTGGCGCCAAGTTCACAGCGCCTCTTGGTTGGTCCCTAGTAGAGAAGGAGCACACAGAGCTCTAGAGAGTGGTCTTCTTGAAGACCCTCTTGCTTGCTTGAGTGGACGTGGAGAGAGGACCCACCTCACATCCCTCTCCCTTGGCTGGGGAGCTCCACAGCCTTCTAAGGGCACTCCCTACGTACTCTCTGGCAAAACCCCGGTCCTCTTCCAAACCCTTCTGTGCCCTCTATGTGAGTGTGGCATTTTGTGGAATTCCAGACAACCGCATTTTCTGTAAATGGCAACACATGAAAGGAGCGCCCAATCTAAGAAGCCCACTGTTTCATTTTGTTGCTGCTGCTGTTTGTTTTCCTACAAAAGGGCAGAGGAAACCCGCCAGGGATAGAACTCTAGTACTGACAAGACATTAAGCTGGTGCTAGATTTCTAAAGCAGGGACTCTGAGGAGGAACACCTTTGTAGCTAGAATATTCTGAAAACCCTGATGGAACTCTGTGCTCTTGCCTACACAAAGCAAAGGATCACACAGAGTAAAACAGAGTTCAGGCAATTCTTCCTTTTGTTTAAATACAGATACAAACTTTTTTAAAAAATATATTTTATTGATTTTTTTACAGAGAGGAAGGGAGAGCGATAGAGAGTTAGAAACATCGATGAGAGAGAAACATCGATCAGCTGCCTCCTGCACACCCCCCACTGGGGATGTTCCCGCGGCCAAGGTACATGCCCTTGACCGGAATCAAACCTGGGACCTTTCATTCTGAAGGCCAACACTCTATGCACTGAGCCAAACCAGTTAGGGCAGATACAAACTTTTTTATTTTCCAAATAGCTGGCTGATCTTCATCCTGAATTGGGCTTCTGATTTAATTATGTAGAAACCCTCATACTTCAGCCTAACTTCAGTATCTTATATATGGGAACTTCGTGATGCTGACTGTGATGGAGCCCTGACCCTGCCTGAGTGCTCTGCTGCAGTTCACCTCATTGTGGCAGGGAAGACCCAGTGAAGGATGGCTATCCACTGCCCGAGGGCCTCCTTCCAACTCCGCAGCCAGAGTACCTGCAAGCAGGCTTCCCAAAGCCTACGTGGGAGTGACATTATTCCGAACCCATGTCAGCAGAGGATACTGTGCTAAGGTACAGTAGCTTTCTGAAATATAGCCTTTCCCAGGTGAGGACAGAGCACGCTGAAATAGTAGATTGTAACTGATCATAAAACTCAGTTTTCATTTATTGACAAGAAAAATAAGCCCTGTTGTCCTGCCATTTGAGAGTTTAGAGAAACCTCTCACATGTTGTGCATTTGATCGTTATCAGAACCCACTCTATAAGGAAGTGGGACAGGTAATGTTTTTGCTTCCATTTGACAGATGAGGGACAGGGGCCCAGAGACAGGAAGTTGCTTGCTTACGTTCAAATATTTAGTATTGGGTGGACCCTTAAACTTATCTCAGATAAGTTTCACTCCGGGTTCAGGTCTCTTTCCACCGCATCTCACTGGTCTTCATGTACAGTTCTGTCACCTGTTTCATCAGATGTCAGAGACCAGTGACCTCTTTCAGAGAGGTAATGGTCTCATACAACCCAGCAGGGAACTAAAGAAATGCCTCTTGCATGGCCGACCTATCTCCTCTGTGTCCAGACTCCCGGGCCCGTCACTCTCCAGGAGCAAAAATTGCCTTCATATCAATTAATCAGTACCCCCTCCCTCTCCCCCTTGCACACACACACAATACTCTGCCTACAGCCCAACAGAGAGCAAACCCTACTTACTATACACCCAGGAACCATTTCTTCACCATGCTGATGTAATAGAAAATGGAAGAAAGGGTCTTGATTTTTATTTCACTCTTTAAAACAAACAAACAAACAAAAACAACACGTCTTTAGGCATCATCTCTTATTGTTTTCACAGCAAGAGTTAGAGCAGCAGGCTAATGGCAGTATCCTCACATGACAGAGTAAGCCAGGGCAGCAGGGCAGGGAGCAGCTAAGTGACCTAACCAAGGACACCCACGTAATAAGTGCAGAGCTAGGATGATACCTCTGGACCTGAAGGCCCTCTGATTCCTAGTCCACTGTTCCCTTCGTGGCCCCATGAGGCCACTTCTATGATGCCGTTAATAGTTCTTTCATATACATACTTGTATATATTTATATAATGTTTTTTATTGATGAGAGACAGAGACCGTGAGAAAAGGAAGAGAGCGAGAGAGAGAGAGGGAAAGAGAGAGAGAGAGAGAGAGAGAGAGAGAGAGAGAGAAGACATTGAGACATCACTGTGAGAAAGAAACTTCCACCAGCTGCCTTCTGTATGGCACCTACTTGGGATTTCGAGCCCGCAACCCAAGCATGTGCCCTGACCTGGAACCAAACTGGGGAGCTTTGGTGCATGGGAGGACACCCAACCAACTGAGCTACACTGGCCAGGGCAACAGTTATTTTTACATGTCCTGATAACTCTCCTTGCTGCTTTCCACATTTGCCGTGCCCATTCCCATCTCTGTGCCTGTGTTCCCTTTTTCCTCATTCTCTTAGGAATACTTTTTCTTCTCTCCTCCATCTGAGTAATTCTTACTCGCCCTTCTAGTCCCAGTTTTGCAATCCCCTGCCACCCCCATTCCAAATGCACCAGTCCACCTCCTTGTCTTTCTTCTGTGAAACATAGTTGCACTTATGGCCTATGATTAATGGCTACTCTGCTTTCCTATATGTAAGGTTTTCTGTCTCATTATTCTTCCCAACTGAATTCTAAGGGCACTAATGATTGATTTTTTTTCCCTCTCAGTTTCCTTTCCAGGTAACATGGTGCCTGGGACAGGGCTGGCCGTATAAATGGCCACCGCATATGTGCCCTTGTGCATTAAACCTATGCCTCTTTTTCATCCTTGAATTCCTTACAGTTGCTAGCACATTGCCAGGCACAACATAAATTCACTGAGTTGGACTGACTATGTCCTCTTGAGTATGCTGTTGTTTAAATGATAGACAGGAAAGTGCTTTGGAGCCATCATGGAGATCAGTTGAACCTTCTTGGTTTGGGTGTATTTTATGCAAGAAGAATGGCATTGTGAAAAAATTAATATATGAATTGCTTGTTTGAGCTTACAGTTTAATTTACTGCGCCCATTGTATTATTTTTATTGAAATCATCAGGTTCTGTTTATCTCTTTTTCTTTATTTTGCACTTCATCCATCCTGTGAAGGATATTGTTTTAGCTTAATTATTTAAGAGCTGGAGGTTAATTCGGGTCTAAGGTATACTGTCTGATCCATGGGCTTATTATTTAAAACTAAAATATCTGCTGCTTCAGCCACAAAATGGGGCTGAAACCAAGACAGCACAGTCCATCTAGGCTCATGATAAAAGGTAATAAATCACATTGTCTAAGCTAAAGAGTAAACAAATTGGCAGTCTTATGAGAGGATGAAAATGCTTCAGGGCCTCTTTTCTCACCAGTTCACTGGTGGTTCCAGGTTGAAAGGTCAAATGGGCTAAAGGGAAAGAAGAAACTTATCCATCTTGCTCCTGTAACCACACCATCCATTCCAGGCTCTCTTGAGTGCTGCTCACAGTCCAAGGCAACACAAAGCTAACATAATACAGACAGAAATAATAAAATGGGATCTGGAACATGCAACTGAGAATGCCTACCCTTGCCCCATACCCTGCAAATGACACAGGGTGACTCCAGGGATACTATGAATGTCAATAAGTGGTTTAAAATATGGCAAGTGTTGCAATTTTCAGTGCACCCACAGCTGAGGTTTGGGGAGCTAAACATCATTTGAAAGAGCTAGAATCTTAATTCAGAGGGCCTGGGTTTAACTCCTGGAATGGGCTAATGTTGTCTGTTTAGCCTTGAGCAAGTCACATCGCCTTCCTGAGATGTGGTCTTGCATGTAAAAATAAAATATAAATGCTTTCCTTATCTAGTTCATAGAGTTGTGGTGGCAATTACATGGAATACTTTATGTGAAGGAAAAATTATGTAAACCATTAGCCGAGAACATCTTTCCATACAATACTCTATGTTAAAAAGAAAAAGAGAAAAAAGGGAATGAAATAGAAAAGACTGAAAGAAAGTGTGATGGTTAATTTTATGTGCCATTTTGGCTGGGCCATGGTGCCTAGATATGTGAGTAAACATTATTATGGGTGATTCTGTGTGGGTGCTTTTGGATGAGAATCAGTTTTAAATCCATGGACTTGAGGTAAATTGCCATGTACAATGAGGGTGGGCCTTATCCAATCCAGTGAAAGGCAGAACAGAAAAAAAAAATATCTCCCCTGAGCAAGAAGGAATTCTGCTGCAGATGACCTATGGGCTTGATCTGCAACACTGGCTCTTCTCTGTGTCTCCATCTTGATGACCTTTGGATTTAAACTGCAGCCTTGGCTCTCCCTTCAGAAGCTAGTCTGTGAGCACATCCTACAGATTTTGAACTTGCCAGTCTCCATAATCATATGAGCCAATTCCTTGAAATAAGTCAGTCTCCCTCTCTCTCTCTCTCCCTCTCTCTCTCTCTCTCTCCCTTTACACACATACACACACACACACACACACACACACACACAGAGACACACACTCTCATACGTGTAATTGGTTCTGCTTCTCTGAGAACTGACTCATGCAAACTTTGGCACTAGGGCTGTTTCTAAAGAACAGAATCTTAAG